TATAATATAACCGCTGAAAGATCTCTTAATTCTTAAAATAAAAGTAATTCTATCGATTCAATCAAATACGATAACGATTTATCCTCAAACCAGGTATATGTGTAATATCTATGATAATATAAGGTATTATGAATTATGATAACTACATGCAATGTTTTTGGAACTATGACACGAAAAAAAAAAACAAAAAAAAACACACTACATTGTAAAATCAATAGATTCATCACTTCGTTCAGAATCTAAAAAATCTATATTTGTTACGCTTTTTACATGCAGAATGTATAGTGTACCAAATTTTTTGAACCAAGACTTAGTTTTCGATTGATACAGGTGAACACAGGATACAGATAAAGTAGATACCCCGTAAATTATTTATTGAAATAATTAACCGAATTTTTAGGCACACTAAGGCACTTATTTTCCTTTAAGAAAACTGATCCCTGAGCCTTTGCCAATATGCCAGGTCGACACTGGAATTTGACTATTATTGACTATAATGTGTAGTTATAAGGTTCATAATTTTTATAGTAATGTCAAGGTAGTGTATTTTGTTTCGTACATCCTTCCACCATTCTGTAAATTTATCTTTATTRTGACACTTTGAAATCCAAAAGTTAAGTCAAAACATTTAATTTATTTCTAACTATAAACTATAATAGCACATACATTATGTGCTTTACCTAAGAAGTATAATAAATAATGACAGAATTAAAATTTTTCTCTTGTGTAAACAATAATATTGTTTGCAATATAAATTCAAAAAAAACTAAATATTTAAATACCAAAAGTCAATAAATACCAATAATTGTTTTCTATTTATTTTATGATTTAGTTGTATGCTGAAGTCAGGTATAAATAATATTTACTATCCATCAATGTGAGAATAAAATWAWTATATTTTCAAATTTCAAATTTCTAAAAAGTTAATGGTAACGAAATCTAAAACAAATAAAAATACATTTAAGTATTTTACACGATTAATTATTTGTACATATTAATATTTTTAATAATATTATTAAATAAAATATATACCTAGCACCTAGGTAACATTAAATTGAAGTTTTCGTAGTGGATATTAAGACAATATCATAATATTATACAAGAGCAATTTAAATAATTAACTTCAGTGCAAATGATTGTAGGTAGGCAATATAACTAGCCACAAAATAGGTAAATAAAATAATGTTATCTATTTTATGATGTAGGTACCTATAGCCGGTAAGGCGGTAAAGGTAGTATATACAGGTATATAATTATTTTAATTGTTTTAGGGTATTATATCTCAATGTTGTGCGTACTCAAAATAATCTTATAGTTCTCCTATATGTAACTCGATTTAACATGTAATGTAATCTAAACTTATGTAAACCCAATGGCCTATGCTGTCGAGGGCTCATTGAATAATAATAATCTTCTTTAAAATATATAATGAAAGAATATGACCAATGAAAATTCATCAAAATTACGTTTTTTATTTGTTTATCTTAATAACAATATAATTCTTTTGCTGTTCAAGTTATGTTGTTTTATAATTTAAGATAATTTACTAGGTACCTATATAAAACAATACCTAATCAAAAAACAATTAAAATTATCGTTTAAGAGGACGTCGCACCCGCATATGTTTTCTCTGTCTTACACGCGTACGATATAGCAAATTGTACACATTGAAAAACACGTGTAGCTCCGTTAGTTTGAAAATTAGAGTGAATTTACCTCTTATAAAATCTATAGGTGATATTTAGACAACCTCATAAGCTTTATGTTATATTTTAATTTTAAAGCGAGTTATGACTATTTCAATTTACAATGTTAAAATGCTCATAACTCACTTTAAAATAAAAATATAATAAAAAGCCTATCCTCATAGGCTTTAGATAACAATCTATTAACCTATCTAGATAACAATCCTTTAGAAAACCCTTTAGATTTTATAAGAGGTAAATTCACTCCAATTTTTAAACTAACGGAGCTACACGTGTTCTGCTGAGCGTACAATTTGATATGTCGTAAGCGTGTAAGACAAAGACAACATATGCAGGTAAGACGTCCTCTTAACAAAAATATAAGCCTTGTTAGTCGAATAATTATTCTAATTGAAATGTGAAAAATGTAGAAACCGTTCAGCAGGGTGACCGCTCAACGCGATATATCATCATAAGTAAAAAATGCTTAACCTAAAAAAGAGGACACATTAATTCGGTGCAACTCGTTTGCGCACAATCTACATTTTTTACCTAGATATCGATGACTCGTTTGCGCACAACGAAATCAGCCGTTTACCTGTAACGGA